ACCGATAACATCGAAGCCCGACGCTCCATATAAGACACGGACCAGCCTTGAAGCACTGCGCAATTCTGAACTGGTGCGCAAGGCGTTTGTCCCCCAGCGCACGCATTGAGAGTGTGGTCTTTGTCGCGATTCACCTTCTAACTAAGAAACGTAAAAGAATCCATGACGAGGACATCCCGCAGAAGCCAAAGTACGCGTCCCAACCTTCAAGCAAGCCTCCAGTCTTCCAGTCTTATTATGCAAGCCAGGGCAGTTCAATGTATATCGACCTAGGTTAGTGTTTTACAGCAACACAAATTGAGGAATGTGGTGCAGGAGTACTTTAGGACGAAAATTGTACTGTCGGGTTCATCAATGTGCGTCCAATGTATCATCCTTGAAGATATCAATTACGTACTCTGTGAACGGACGCCACATGCACCGGAAAGACAGTCTCTAAAGGTGGCCTTAAATTTCAAACGGGACTCCGACTTGGAGCTGACACAGATCCTAGGCCCATGGTAAAACACCTCTAGTTTTTTACGCGCCACAAGAGCGCTTTTTACGCTCTGGAAAGCGCAAAAGCGTTGTACTAAAAAGTGCACTCTACGTATGTGGTTGTTTACATTATGTGCTTATCACTGTACATAGGATAATCATCATCCAGTACCCGAAGTAGCATGTAAGGCGAATAGCCAGATAGACGTCTGCAGCTTCTCATTTAAATACTTCTTTCTCACTTGCTTTTGAGCGGCTGTAATTGGCTATGGTAATATATTATCTTTTTAAGAAGTGATAGAAATAACGTATACAAGCCTGGCTCAGTCATAGTGGCCTGTAAACAAGTGTAGCCTCAAATAGTCGACATAAAGGGAATATTATCGACGAAACAAACATACTTGACGTCACGTGACACAAAGTAAAACTTGATAGGGTCAATGTGCTTGTCACCTGGAGGAAGTTCCGCGTTTAATTTGTTCTCCGGGTACAATGAATGAGAGTTCATGCACGAAATGACACTGTGACAGTCTTCATTTGATACAAGAGGTCAGTCATATTTGTAGTGTCGTAAATGCATGCGAGGTAGAGTAACATAGGGGCTCCTAACACCGGGTCATTGACATGCAGCGGCAGCGGTGTTTAAAAAGCTCGCGAGAAATTTCGCAAAAGGTGCGCAAACAAGCATGCTGACATTGCGACGAATTGACGTGGTGGCACGTGTCGTCGCTAAGAGTGCCTCTTCCAGGGAACTGCAATATAATTTTAGGAAACAACATTTCTTCTTGGCACGAAGAGAAAGAGAGAGAATAAAGTGAGAGAAAAGCAGGAAGGTTAACTTGAATTTTGGGCATCCGGTTTGCTGTCCTGCACTAAGAGAAAGGGGAATGGGGAAGAAAGGTGACAAAGAAAGCGAAGAGCAAAATATACGCGCGAAAAAGTAAAACAGAGCGGCGTTGCTATGGCCTATTCAATAGGCCACTACAGTGTAGGCCTTGGGCAGAAATCTGTAAGGAGAAATCATTGAAGATTTTGCGCACTCTAATTTTTCTCCCTCCCCCGAAAAAAAATCCTTTCGCAGAAACTTTTTTTTCCAAGATTATGAAACACTCTCGCGTTCAGAGCAAATCAAATATTCGTGTAAGATGTCTTTACTCTGTCAAGGATATTGTTTGCGGTAAAAACAATCACTGCCGTATCTACAAAGTGAATGATCTAAAAAAGCTTGCACGGACATGATCGGGCAACCCGCGAATTCTCTGTACACAACTTCCATCTTGATATGTAGACGTTACAGGTTTGTTATAAATACATACATGATGTTGATTATATACATTGTGTTGTGTATATACACTATACATACAGAACAGATGTTATTTCGCAAAGTATAAGAAGGGCGTTCCTCGATGAGCTCGAGTATTCACTACCCTTTAAATATGAATGCTTTATGATGCATTATATTCACAAGAGAAGCAATTTTACAAAGCACAAAAAGGGCTTCCCTCAGTGAGCTCTGAGACTCGTTTTCCTTTAGGGTTGTTACTTTATGATCAATAAAGTGTCTTGCCCAGGAATCAGCCATGATGGGACGCAATGAAATGTTCGAGAAGGCAACGTTGCTACAGGCGCCGCTGAAGGCGGTGGAAAGTTTGCAGTCGTACGATACACAACGAAGAGCGTAACGTGACATGTCTTGTTGTCGCCAAACCACAAGCGGTCGCATATTTTTCAGCTGCGGCCGAACACGTAGTCGAGGAAATCACGCCTGAAGCGTTAGTCGGCACCGCCCACGTCAGGTAGTAGCTGCTATGGCGCTTGGGCGCTGCATGCTGCACCTGCACATCGGAGTTTTCTTGCCACCGCTTCCGTTTCGTTTCTGCTTCGCGACCTCCTACCACAGGGTCCACTTGACCACGCGCCCTTTTCACTTCTGCTTCGCTGGCTGGCCGCTCCAGCTTTGCTTGACAGTGAGGCTTCTCAGGTTCGGCTTCCTTGGCTCTCACCGCAGGGTATTGGTTATTAGCCCGAGCTTCTGCAGTGTTGCGAGCCCACCACGGCGCTGCTTCGGCTTCTGAGGTGTTGTGCGGCTGAGCGGTAGCGTAGAGCGATCACCGCGCGAGCTTCCGACGAAGACAAAGGAAGCGCACGTGCACCATTTGCGCACGTTCACCGAGAGAATTTCTGCATCAGTATTGCGGATCAGTGACGAAACGCTTCTTTTATTGGAATAAACAGAAAGGCGATTCCAAATTGTACCTTTCGATGGCTCACACGGCTGTGCTAAAATTTCATGTTCATTGTTACCGGACCTAGAACAAGCCTTTGGCTACAGGTCTTACAAGTGTTTGTTATCTCTCTATATTATAAAAATGCTACTTCTTGTTCTTATTCCTTAAGTACACACCCCTTTGTTCATGTATGAATTCGAGCTAAGAAAAAAGGCAGGTGGCTGCCCACGAATGTGGTCTTGCCGCAGCCCTTTTCTTCGTTCTGGATATGCCGAAATTGGCATGGCCTCACAGGCCCATTATGGAAATGATGTCGTACATGTCGTTTACATTATTATTTATGCGACGTGATCGTGGTCGCTAGTGGTGATTTTGTTAACGTTAAATGAACAAAATTGGTATTACATGGCCTGGTTGCATTAGGAGTATCAACTAATTGTGAATCCGGTTATTTACAGCTATCTGTGTTTATTGCAATGCCATCTTATTACACACGTAACGGCTCTTAGCAATGCCCGAACTAGTCGCACAGAAACACTTGAGAAGCTTCACAACTGTATTAGGTCATTCTGCCAAGGTTACGCACAGCACGCAAAGAGGAGGAGGAGGAATAAACTTTATTATAAGAAACGAGCAGGTTTAGGTGGCGGGGCCTAGGCCTCGGCCTCCCCTGAGGGGACGTCAAGGGCTTGCCTAGACACTGCCTCACGGGCATGCTCGGTCGCCTAGGTTTGGTCGTCAAGAGTGGGACTCTGCAGAGCTCCCCCCCCCCCCCCCCCATTTTTTCAGAGAATTCGCTAACCTGCCACGGTAATCTAGTGGCTAAGGCACTCTTCTGCTGGCTCACACGTCAAGGGATTGAATTTCGGCAAGCATTTTCGATGGGGTCGAAAATGCCTTGCGTCCGTGTGCTTAGATTTAGATGCACGTGAACGAAGTCCTGATTGTCGAAATATCTGTAGCCCTCCACTGTGAAGTCTCGCGTAATCATATGCCAGTTTGGGGAAGTTAAACCCCATTTATTATCAATATTAGAGAGTTTATGAAATGGGCGCCCAAGACAAGACACTGTGTCCCCAAGCTACGTTGCGTAGGTTGCTCTTGCGTTCGGAGGATCAGCAGAGTTTGAGAACGGGGTCAAACGCAGGATGCGTTGGGTCAAACACACGGGGCCACCCACGGCCAAATAAAAACTATGCGAGACGCACGCCATATGGCACAGTGGCTCACGCAGCGCCTGGCGCCCCAAGACGAGTTGAGGGCCCACGCTGGTTTTTGATCTTTGGAACTTGGGTCAACACGAACACAAGAGCCCAAGATTGGTTGAAGTTCTGCGCATGTGCCCTCGTGGGTCGAAAACTTCTCGAGTACCCAACCTGCTTTGGAGCCGCAATTCTATAACTCTCTATTATTAATACCATGAGAAAGCACACGAAACATTAGCGCACACAAGCGCACGTGCTGCCTCTTGTTATCGTCTTCGTCGCGTCATTTCGCGGTTGTCAGTACTCACCGACTAGGCCAGTACACAAGTTTTTCTAGACATTACAACCACTGGTTTTAAAGAACGACGTATCTAAAAAAGCGGGCTTAGAAACCCCTACTACGATAAATATTGGATTACACAAGACAAAGGAATTTTCGATATACGGCTGACAGTCAGGCAACGCAACCATTGCTGAACGTAGCTTGAAACTGTAATTCCAAGTGAGAACAGCAATCGAAAGCACCACGCATAAGAGGCTCGCCGCAGTAATAGACATTGCCAGCTGAATATGCTATGACCTGCTGAAGTAATTTCGGTGGATGAAGTTCCATACTCAGGCATCATCATCCCACCAGAAATTATTTCAATACTGACATCTACTCATTAAAACAACTGTACTCAAAATGCATTCATGCAGCTCATATTGTTATTGTCACCATGGGGTGTTAGTTCACGTCCCTAAGAGTAGATTCTTTCTTGACAAGTTAAGATAGCTTTTTTTGCACCAGCGCAAACAAATTTATTATCCTGTATAAAATTAATAGTTAAATAAAAATGCTTTATCCAAATACTGAGATGTTGAACGCAAGTTACAGGAATAGTGGCGTTTCCAGTGTAGCCATAAAGGCATAAAAAACCAACTGCGGCATCTGGTTGGACTTTTCAGCACACAAGTGCAGCTTGCAGCTGCACCACTGAAAAAGCTTCTAATCTTGATACGTCGAGCGTACAGCACAGGTGTGACTACAAATATTTTGCGGTACCAGAGAAAATATCTCTCCTTGTGAGTGTTGCCGACGTAAACTTACCTTTCTTTGGCCTTTGAGCTTTTTTGCTTCTGGCAACACCCTGTTGCCGCAGCACCTGTGAGGGAGATCTAACTAGAATACCTCGAACCTGTTCGATACATTATATAGTCCAGTGAGAGAGAACCACACAAAACAAAAAAGTCCATCTAGGACTCGACGCAGTAGCAAACATTTCAGAACTGCTAGATTTATTTTTTGAAATATTCTAGCCATCAAAATTATTGCGAGACTGTAAGTGCTGCTTGACTCCTATTTGCTGCTTGCTATATGTTTATGGTGCGGGCCGAGAATTTCTTTTTCTATCCTCACAATAAAGAATGACTCATATGTTGCATTGCTTTTTTGAAATCAAAGCGCAACATTTGGTTGTCTGAGTCATCAGCCCATCTGATAAAACGTGTGTGACAACCGAGTAATAAAAATGCGATGGACCTCTGAAATATTAGACGGCAGTTCAGGGACTCGTGAACACCTCAAGCTAAAATCACTGCAACGCGCTATAAGTGAGAGCGCTACATCGCATAAAAAAGGTGCTTGCCATTTTACTATGTAGCCATGCTGTATAAAGAGTTGGGAGGCCTCAAATAAACGTGCACAGCCTAAGTCTGCGAGAGAAGACCAGGAAGTTCAAGACGCTAAGGGCAAGATTCATAGCGCCACCTTTTAAAACTTGGGTCTGGAATTATCCTAATTGGTTGTTCTATTATTCGGCGCTTCTACTCTGCGCTACAGTCGCAGAAATGTTTATTACGCCATAGGGAATATATCAGTCAGACTAAAAGAATATCGAGCTGAATTCTTTATCCTTTTAGCCAATTAAATATTTATATTCACTCATTAAATTTGTTGTATGAACTATACCTAGCTTATACGATAATTATAGCGAAGAAAAACAAAAGGAAATTCATCTAGTACTCGACAAATCCCCTGCATTGAGTAAGAGCCATGAGAAAAAGAAGAAGAAGGCTCCTTGTACACAAGGGCGAATCAGAAGCAGTCATAATTAAACATTCTTTTTCAGTGTGTGCTGCTGTGTCATCAAAAACCAACTTAACACTTATGAATATATTTCGACTACTCATACCAACCAACTTGCGAAACACTCAGTTGTTATGCGTACCAGGTCATTAGGGCATATATCTCAATGAGATGGCGTATGCAGTAGCCACGGTATCTCTTAGCCATCCCCTTATCCTAATTTAGCCTGATACGGCTTACACAACCGCAATAAGGTTTCAAAACATTTGTTTACATAATGAAATACTCCTTCTCATTGAAAATAATTTGATATTTTGCACATCTAAGATGCTCCTGGAATATACAGTGGTGTGCAACAAGGCAATTGGAGATTACTTATACCAAATTGCTTTGTAGAATTCCATAACTAAACTATTATTTACATAAAGCTGGTCTAAAGGCATCAACGTAACGTCATGTTTGCGAAGATATGGAAACAATGTATCATTACTTTTTATTCTGTCACTGATATTCCTATCAGCGGAAAAGATTCCTGGTTGCACCACTTGAAAAATTAGGATTACAAATAAATGTAGCAGCAATTTTACCGTTTGGCAGCATTAAGTCAGGTTATAGACACAGGAACGTCTGATCCCTGCTCAGATATATTCCTTTCTCGATGGCTGCTTATGTGTATATATATATATATATATATATATATATATATATATATATATATATATATATATATATATATATATATATATATATATATATATATATATATATATATATATAGGGAAAGAAGTGTATACCTAAGGGCTCGTTTTTCCGTGCTTTGACACAATACTAATGAGATATAACAGACAGTAATGCCAAGAAATGTATAGGGGAGGTTATTAGAACCAATGGAATGTAAATAAGAAGAAAGAAGAGTGGTGAAAAAATAACCAGCCGTGAGCAGAATTCGAACCTAGGACCTTTGAAGATCACGTTCGATGCTCTCGAAAGCATCGAACGCCTTATTCGAAGGTCGTAAGATACTGTAAATATTATTAATGAAATAATATATATATATACTGCAATCTGAAGTTACTTTCTGCTTGTAAAACCACCAGCCTTTAACTTCATGTAGTTGCTAACACCTGGTTCTTGGCCGTCCCCCTTTGTGAGTGCGCGCCAGTATTGTAAGGATCACCATCATCATCATCATCACGTTAGCGCATAGTTTTCTTACATTTTAGGGGGCCGAAAACCCCATGCGGTGCGTACCCCCTTCTACGCACGACTGAAGTGATCTTCTATTCGTCCACGTCGCGTCGCGAGTGGCGAGAATCGAGTGTCCAACTAGTGCTTCACTGATCGTTACTGGAAGTGCCAAACGCCTGCCTACTCGCAGCCGAAAAGCTTGCATCGCAGATTGTCTCAAGGCTAAGCGAACCACTCGATGCGCCCAGGACACCCAAGCTACTGCAGGAGGCCCGAACATTGATCAACAATCCCAACGCTGACATCGCCAAGCTCACAAATATTCTAGACCACCTCAGCGCAAGTAATTTGGAACTATTGAGCACCAATGCCACTCTTGAAGATCACATTCCTAATGATGAGCTTGAGGCAGAATATAGCGCTGCGGCAAGGTATCACGACCAGGTGATACGCATGCTAGCTGGATTACGCTGTCATATCGCCGCTTTAGGGCTTGTTAATAGCCAGCCACAAGCAGCAGCATCGGCTTATAATGACTACAAGTCTGAGGCTAATGCTCAACCAACAACTTTACAGCCAGAACTTAACGCCGAAACTTCTTCTGGCTTACGGCTGCCTAATCTTCCCTTCCGTTTTTTAACGGTGACATTCACAATTGGACAGCATTTTGGGAACAGTTTGAGCAGACGGTTCATCGCAACGAGAAATCGTCCCATCAATAAATTTTTACTAACGTAATTGCCTTTTGAGACAAGCAGCGGCATCTATCGTGGGGCTACCAATCTCAGAGTCATGCTATGCACATGCGTTCCAAATTTTGAAAGAAAGGTTCGGAGACCAGAAAAAAATAGAACAGTGCTACCTGTCAGCCTTAAGAAACCTTCCTCACGTCATGTCGTGAAACGATGTAAGAGGTGTTCGGAAGATGTACGACGCCGTGCAACGGCATATTCGTTACCTAAAAGCTCTAAACGTACGGATACTCACCTTTTCTGCAATGATTGTCGATACGCTGCGCAAGGCCTTGCCGGGCGACATTGTCTTGGAGTTCGTTCGCAAAAACAGAGAGAAGCACTAAGATTTCCTGCCGTTGAGGTACCTGCGGTAATGTGTCGCAACAGGCACCTGCAGTCGCGTCTTCAGAAGGCGAGCTGAATGACCTCTTTCATGTCACAACGGTGGAGTTAGAAAGCCGAGATCAGTGTACTATGATGCCAAGAGAGTGAAAGGAAAATTTTGAAAAGTTCAGAGACCACAGTACTGCGTCTGTATTGCATACCACTACTGGGGCAAAGCGTGCAGACTGCTTCTTTTGTGGATCAGATCAGCATGGAACCCGTACTTGTGACTACGACATTTCTCTCGAGTCGAAGAAGCAACAGCTAAGCAAGTGCAATCGTTGCATCAGGCGTACATCCCGAGATCATCATGCGCGGTCGTGCCATGTGAGGCTCACTTGTTCGCATTGCCACTGCAGATGCACTTCAAGCATATGTGACCCAAATTATAAGAGGCAAGAAGGTACACTAACATCTGACAGCATGACAGCATTTGTGTCAGCCAACGCTTTACTCCGAACTAATGAGTCAACGTGCATTGTAGGACGGGCAACGGAGTATACCTTCAGACGTTCCGTGCTTGGGCAGGTCAAGACAATAACTGCAGATACATGAGGAGTATCTTGAACGGTAGCAGTCAACGATCATTTATCAAAGAAGATCTCGCCACTAAGCTACGAGTCAAGATCGTTAGGGTGACCAGAATCGCATTGCAGGTTTTCAGAAGAGCGGCAACTTCCAGAGCTGAAAATTCGAAGGCTGTGAAAGTTCCTATTCATAGCCAGCATAACTCCCAATTCTGCATTGTAAGAGCTATCCCAGTGCCGTTTATTTGCCACGACGTTTGTACACTATCCGAGGACAACAAGCTCGTGAGACAGCTGTGAGTGGAAGGAAAATTCATTGCTGATGAACGATGCTTCCTTGGAACAGATGCGGAGCCCAGGCTGTCTTTACTCATCCGGTGAGATAATCTTTGCAAGATATTGTCTGACCAATTCTTGCGAATCACAAATATCTATAGTTTGGTCGATATGAATTCAACGTAAATGGACGTTCCAAGGAACAACCGAGCAAGTGCTATCCACCGCAAGCACTGCGAAATTGATCATCTGTGCACTACATGTGATTACCCAGCCTGACGATGAAGTGACATCACAGACATCACAGTTTTCTGGGAAACACGGGGCAATTTGTATCATGGAAAAAAGCGACTCTGCACAATTCAAGACTCTCAAAGCACTCCGCCAGACAACAGGCAAATCGCATGAGAGGTGTACATTTGAGCCACCTCGAAATAAAGATAACTATGGGAGAACTCTCCTTCGACTACCGAAGCTAGTTGAAAGGCTTTTTCTAAAAAAACATCTCCAGTGACACGACGGGGTCATGACACAATATCCTTTTCTCGTACGCACACAATTGTTGCCTAAAGGTGTTCTTGAGAGCCGACATTTTTACGGTATACCCCACAAAAAAGCGTTCGCCGGGCGTTCGTCTGGGCCTTGAAAAAAAAATAGAGGAGGCGCTGGTTAGGCATAGCCTGAAACTCCATTGGGCGGGAGGATGACAAAAAAAGACCAAACGTGCGCAGCCTAAGTCTGTGATAGAAGAGGAGGAAGTTGAGCATGCTAAAGGCAAGATGGCTTCTTGTCAAAATTCTCGCGTTAGGGCATAGTTTTTTTACTCGTCCTCTTGGTTGGTGTGCTAGTGCCATTCCACTCATCGATGATATGTGAGGTTTAACGTCCCAAAACCACCATACAATTATGAGAGACGCCGTAGTGGAGGGATGCGGAAATGTCGACCATCCGGGGTTTATTAACGCACTCCAA